GAGCCAAACCGGCTTCGCCCATTGATTTTTAGAAAGAGTGGAAGAGAGAGGGAAAGACAGAGAAATATCGATGTGAGAGAAATAGCGATTGGTTGCCTCCAGCATGTGCCCAGACCATGGCCTGGGGAGCCTACATGCCCTTGACCAGAATCAAACCCAGGACCCTTCAGTCCGAAGCTCTATCCACTGAATCAAACTGGTGAGGGCCGCTCTTGTATTCTTTTACATATATAGTTGGCTCTTGAACAACAACGGAATTTAGGGGTGTAGGGAAAATCTATGTGTAACTTTGATTCCCCCCAAAATTAACTAATAGCCTACTATTGAACAGAAGCCTTCCCAGTAACGTACACAGCCAGTTAACACACATTTTGTATGCTATATGTAATACATACTGTATTCTTATGGTCAAGTCTGCTGGAAAAAATGTCATAAGGAAAAGAAAATACATTTATGGCATTTATTGGGGGGGGCGGAAACCTGTGTATAAGAGGACCCATAAAGGTCAAATCTGTGTTGTTCAAGAACCATCTGTATTTGAAAGTTTCCATGATAAAACATTAAATAGAAAGCAAAACAGGTAAGATAAGAATGACAGTCACGGGCAAACGTAGGAGATTAAACCAAACCAAGAGCAAAGGAATAAACACCAAATAAGCAAACAACAAATAAATCACACAAAAAACAAAAACAAAACAAATAAATCATAAACTGACGGTGGTCACTGTGGGAGGGGCTGGGCGCTGGGGTGCAGCACGCGGTGGGTGAGTACGGAGCGCGGGCAGTGCACTGGCGGGTGCTGAAGGGAAAGAGTGGGGGGGCAGGACTGATCGAGGAGCGAGCCTGGGTGCGGCCTCACCTTGCTGTCCGAGTCCACGCGCTCGTCCACGGAGTAGGAGTCGTAGTAGAGGCTGAAGTCGTCCCCCACCACCGTCTCCCACTCCTCCAGGGGCCCCGCGCTCGCCTTCTCCAGGGCCATCTCTCCCGAGCCCCGGGCAGACCCCAACTCCTCCAGCTAGGAGAGATGAGAGCCACTGAAGCTGCTGGCACCCACCAGCCGGCTTCCCGAGGCTGGGGCGCAGCTCCCGCCGGGGCCCCCGCACCCCCCAGGAGGCCGTGCCGCCTCGCCCGCTCACCAGGCCGCCTCTGGAGCTCAGCTTCCTCCTCTTGGCCACATCTGGAAGGAGAGAGACAGGAGCCGGGCTCGCATTCTAAACTCTCAGCACAGGCCTCAAGCTGCAGGCGGGCGGGTGGACTGACCTGAGGCCACCTTCCCCAGGGGGTGCACGTCGTCACTCATGCGGAAGTGCTGCACTTCGGGGGGCCGCTTCTCGGGGACGGGGGGCTGGGGACCGAGACGGAGCACACTTAGGGCCAGGAGCGGCTGTGGTTTGGCCTGGACTAGTCTGGAGCCCCCAATGGGGGTGGGGTGGTAAGTCACACCCTCAAAAATGCCATCCACAGCTGCAGGAACCAGATGGGGCTCCGAGGAGAACTGCCGCCTCCCAAGCACACCCCACACCCACCCCTCGCTAGTTCCTTCGGGTGTGCAGCAGGCGAGCTTCCCATTTTACAGATGAGAAAACAAAGGTTATTACTCTAACCTCACGCAGAACTGAATGCTGCCAACACCCTAACAACTCTGCACAGGCTGAGCGATCCCGGGCCTGTCGCTCCGAGGCCGCAGGAGCAGCCTTTACAGCGAGCAGGGCAGCGTCTCGGGGCAGCGTTCCCGGGCTGGCTTTGAGCTAAAAGGGTAGAGGGCTTGACGTTCCCTTACACCGTCCTCGTCACTACACACATGTCTTTAACAGTTGTCTCTCCTCCTCTGCCCCAGATGGTAAACTGCAGGGACGTGCCTGTTCACACACAAGTCCCCGCCCAGAGTGACAGACAGCCCCGGGCAAACCCGTGGAGCTGTGGCCTCACTGGAAGCCCTGAGGCCAGGTGACACAGAAAGCCCACAGGGGCCAGCTGCACCCCACCGCCCGCCACCGCCGCCCCGCCTCACCTGTCCGTTTCCCGGTTTGGACATGGTTTTCCTGGCGCGGTGGACCTTGGGCTGCCCCTCCGGGCTGGTTGTAGCTGGAGGGGGTTCAGGCCCCGCTGCTGCCCCCTGGGCCCCAGGCATACTCAGCAGCCTCATGGCCAAACTCTGGACCGAGGGGGGTGACTTCCCCGCCCCTGTCATTGACATCTTGGCGCGGCTGGGACAGGCACCCCCTTTGCTGGGGGAAGAGGGGAATGACTTGGTGGCATGGCCTGGAAGACAGCGGGCAGGTAGGCAAGGCAAGATGAGGGGAAAGGCAGTCACAGGGCGCCCCACCTCGCCCCAGCCTCCACCGCCGCTCACCCAGCAGGAGGCGCCCCCCCTGGAGGTCCCCGTCGCCCTCAAGAGTCTCAGGTTCGTCCCCAATGAGCGGTGTGGCTCCCACAGGGGTGTCGGCCCCCTCGTCGCCAACAGTCACGGTGACAGAGGCTGGCGACGAGGGGCCGGCAGGCTCCAGGGAGTCGGGGCTGGCCTTGGGCAGGGGCTCCTCACTCCGAGGGGCGTCCCCCAGAGAGCCATGGGCTGTAGGGGAGAGAGAAGTTCAGGGCTCGGGCCAGGGGCCTGTGCCTGGGGAGGGAGTGGTTTCAGCTTCACTCACCTCGCTCGACGGCGCCTCGGGGCTCCTTGTCCAGCACCAGAGCCCCCATCTCAGCAGGGCCCTCCCCCTGAGAGGCGACACGAGGGACGGGAGGGCTGGTCAGCCCGGGAGGAAGTTGGGGGGCCCAAGCCGCCTGGGCCCTGGGAAGGGAGAGCAGGCTCCGGGGCCTACCTCTCCCTCGGTGGGCGCCCCCCCGGCCCCGGCCCCGGCTGCTCGGAGGGGCCGCCCGGCCCCGGCCCCGGGCCCGCGTCAGCCCCCGGCCTCTCGGCAGCCCCCGCATCTCCGGGCCGGCGAGCAGAGGAGGGGGCGGGGGCGGGGCCTCCGCGCCCCGGCCCCGCCCCCTCCTGCCGGCGGCACGCGCCGCTCCCCCTTTGTCCCCCAGGCCGCGGGGACCCCGGGCGCCAACCCCTCCGGCGCCCGCCGCCCCCCAGCCCGGCGGGCGGCCTCTCGCGCCCCTCGCGCGCGCTCCCGGGGCGCCGGGGCCAGCCGCCCACGCGAGGACGGCCGAAGGCTGCACGCGCGCCCCCGCGCCCACTCCCCCCACCTCCCACCCCCTGGCCCCCTCATCCGCCCCCGGTGCTGGCCCTCCGGGCGGCGGGAAGCCCCGCCCGGGCCCCCCGGCCCCGTGGCACCCCCGGAGCATTGCACGGGCGCGCGCTTCCCCCGGGCGCGCGCGCGGGCATGCACCCGCCTCTCCCCCTCCCCTTCCGCACCTCGGCGGCCGCCGCTGCCGCTCCCGCCGCCGCCGCCATCGCCGCCGCGCTGGGGCCCAGCCGGCGGGCCGCCCCGGGTCACGTGGGCCGGGAGGGCGGGCCCGGGCGGGCCTTAAAGGAGCCACCGCGCGCTTTCGGGCCATTTTCCCCGGAGAGCCGCCTCGGCGCCGCCTGCGCGGGGGCCGTGGGTCCTGCTTCAGCCCCGCGGCGCTGGAGGGAGCCACGCGGGGCGCGCGTCCGGGGGGCCTCCCCGGCGCTGGGTCCCGGGGGGCCTCCCCGGCTCTGGGTCCCGGGGGCCCCCCCCGGCGCTGGGAACAGGGGGACCTCCCCGGCGCTGGGTCGGGGGGCCTTCCCGGCTCTGGGTCCAGGGGGGCGCCCCGGCGCTGGGAACAGGCGGATGTCGGCCTTCGGGCTGTGGGTCCGCCGGGCCCGCGTGCTCTCCCTCCGCTAGTGCTGCCCGCCCGGGTGTGCGGCGGCTGGCTGGCCTGCGTCCGGGCCTGGCTTCGCGAGAGCACGGGGCCACGGGGACTGGCTGTCCCTCCCCGATCCGGCGCCCCCCTCCCGCCCCGGCCGGCCTTCCCCTTCGGTTCCCCGGCTCCGGGGCCCTGGGACTCTGTGGGACTTGCTTCCTGCGCCTTCGCAGTCCGCTGGCTCACCGCCACTTGTACTTCCTAAGTAAACTAAGTTATTGAAAAGAAGGCTGGTTCCAGCAGGCTGCTTCATGTCCCCTCTGTGGGGAGGTGTCTCTTCCGTTTATATCAGACACGCCACCGCAATACGTGCACTAGGAACCTCGATAGGCCCCAGTCACCACTGTCCGGTGACAGTGCCCTTTCTTGCCAAACGCTTCACAGCACAGCCAGGCACTGCGTGGTCCCGGCCCGCAGGAGTATGAATATTAGGCCCAGACGGACTATAGATAGGACTATTCAGGGTATACGGTTCCTTTAGGTACCACATCTGGTCGAAGATGGGAAACTGATTTCACAAACAGTATTTGACAGACAGGTGGTTGGGACATAGGCCAATTCAAGGCTTTCTGGGAACTGTAGTAGTTTTTGGTTAGGAACTATTCCAGTAGACTGGGCTTTCTGGGAATTGTAGTTCCCGGAGACCCACACATCCGCACCTTCCCCAGACCAACCATAGGCTCCTGCCTGCAACTTGGGTGGCAGTGACCACACCTGTAGCCCACCCCTGGCCTCGGCACCACACGCCTGCCACACTGCGGTCACGGGCCCTTGTGCTCCAGGTGCCTGCAGGTGCTGAGGTTTAACTGAGGGGCCCGGCCAGAGAGCCCGCTGGTGACAGACACTCGCCTTCCCTGCCAGCCTGGGAGCCGCAGGAGTGACCTCTGGGTACTGAGCAAACAAAAGGCTGCTTAGGGCGGGACGGTCATTTACAAGCAGATGCCAGACAGAGTAAAAAGAAAAAAAAAAAAAAAGTTTTTTTTTTTTTTTATTTTGTGGAAAACAAAAGCAAAAAAAACCTAAAACCCCAAACTTCAGAAAAAAATCCTAAAAAATACGTGTTTTTTAAAAAATACTGTATAAGTCTCTACTCCTCTCCCTCCCCCTAACCAGCTCTTCTGTGTCCTGTCATCTAAGTGCCCTCTCCCCACCCCCTTATTCCCGTTCTGGCTATGGTGCCCACTTCCCGATACTACCCAGGACGCTCATCCCCATTTCTCTTACCTGCCACCTTGTTCTTCCTAGAATTTTGGTGAGCCTTGTACCCACAGTCCCATCCCCCAGCATGCAAGTCCCCCTTCCTTTTCTGGGGTTCAATAATCCTTCCCCCTACCAGGCCCTCTCCCAAGAATCTATTCTAAGCAGGAGCATGTATGGAATCCTGTCCAAATACCCTCCCGTTCCCACCCACCCTGCCTCAAGAAATGGCAGCCCTCTCCCTGGGCAGCTTGGCCAGGAAAAACACGTTTCCAGCCCCTTTGCCTCTCATTCCGGAGGGCCCGTCCCCCCTCCACAGACCCATGCACCTCGAAGAGGAGTCCGCTCTGGGGGCCGCACTCCTCGGCCTTCTCAAGAACCACCCTCGCCCTCCCCCGTTCTGGAGGCGGGCTCTGTCCACGCAGTCGTGGCCCCCCCTCAGGTTGAGTGTGTCTGCTCCGGCTCCCCGCCGTCCCTGCGGGTCCTCGCCCAGTTCTCCCGGGCCAGGGCCCCCGCCCGCGGCCCAGAGCCGGGCTGCGCTAGCGGATGAGGACGTTGATCTCGGCCACGTTGGCCTCCAGCACGTTCTCGGCCGTGGTCTTGCCGTGCTGCTCCTTGAGGTGCCGGCGGATGGCCGGCTTGTGGGCGAAGCGCACGTCGCAGTAGGAGCAGCGGTAGGGCCGGGCCCCGGAGTGCAGGTTGAGGTGGTCGTGCAGCGTGGACTTCTGCGTGAAGCACTTGCCGCAGATGCCGCACGAGTGCGACTTGACGCCGCGGTGCACGTTCATGTGGCGGTTGAGGTTGCTGCTGTGGTTGAACTGCTTGCCGCAGCGCGGGCACATGAAGATGAAGTGCTGCGCTCGCATGTGGAAGACCAGCTTCTCCACGCCCTGGAAGGCCTCCGGGCACTTGGTGCACTTGATGTTCTTCAGGGAGCCGCCGCCGCCGCCGAAGCCCCCGGGCAGGGGCCCCCGGCCGCCCCCCGCCCCCAGGCCGCCCCCGGCGCCCCGGGCGGCCATGGCCGCCGCCGCAGCCTCCACTAGGCCCGAGGCGGCCCCCACGCTGGCCCGGCCGCCGGGGATCAGCAGCAGGCCCTCCCCTTCCGCATCCTCCGACAGGCTGTAGCAAGCCTTCACCACGCCCTGCGGCGGGGCCAGGGCGCTGGGGGGCACGCTGCTCGGGGCCAGCTCCCCCAGGTGGCTGCCCACCGAGCCCGCCAGGCCCAGGCCTCCGCCCAGGCCCCCGGGAGGCTTGAGGCGGTGCGCCACCTCCAGGGCAGACTCCACCTTGACGATGCAGATGTCAGACACGTCCTCGTCCTCGTCCTCCTCCTCGTCCTCGGCCTTCAGCTCCAAGTCCTCATCCAGCGGGAACTCCAGCTTCACAGGCCGGAGGAGGGGCGGGGGCAGCGGGGGCGGGGGCGGGGGCTTGGGGGCTGGCTTCGGGGTCCTGGCAGGAGGGAGGAGGGACTTGGTGGCACTGACACCGCTCACAAGGCTGGCGTCGCCGACCCCATCCTCTTTGAGGCCTATTTTGGGCTCGATAAACTGGCTGAGGGCGTTGCGGCACTTCTCCACCACGTGCTCCATCTGCAGGTAGGAGGCGGCCGTCAGGTAGTTGACGATGTCCCGCACGGCGAACTCCAGGGCGCCCGTGTAGCAGGACAGCAGCAGGTCGGCCACGATGCGCGCGCTGTGCATAAGCGAGACCTGCAGCTCGGAGCTGGGGTTCAGCAGGAACTGGTCCCGCAGGAAGGGGGAGCAGGCGGCCAGGATGACCTTGTGGCCGCGGAACTTGAGGCTGTCGGCCACAATGGTCACGTCGCAGAACCGCTCCTCGGCGCGGAGCTGGTTCATGTTCCGCAGCGTGGCAGCCTCGTGGCCCGGCAGCTGGAAGCGCAGGACTTCCACCCCAGAGGCCATTGTGGCGGGGTGGGCAACCCTGGTTGGAAGGAAACGGGTCAGAGACAAAGGTCTCCGGCTCTCCGCAGGCAAGGCTCCGGGCCCCTCGTCCCCAGCTTGCTCGGCCCCCCAGCATCACATCTCCCAGTCTCCAGGCCTCAGTTTCCCCAGCGGGGGGGGGGGGGCGCTGGCCCTCCCGGGAGAGGGAGGCGTGGCTCCCGGGGGCGGGGCAGCGGCGTCCACACCCCCAGTCCCAGCGCCAGCCCGCGAGGACCAGGCGAGCCCGCGTGCCCACGGAAACGGGAGCGGAGGCCTGAGGCTGGGGCTCCGGAGCCCGGGGTGCAGGACCTCCTCACCCCGCCCCCTTTGCTCGCCGCCGCCTCCTCCGCCCGCACTCTGCACGTCCGCACGCGCCTTCACGCCCCCCCACCGCCCGCACGCACGGTGCACGCCCCCACCCCCTCGGAGCTCCGTGCAGCCCGCCGGCCCCAGGCCCGGAGTGCACGCCCTCTCACCTGGCCCTGGTCCGCGGGCTGTGTTTTTGCCCCCCTCCTTCCCCACCCCCCGGGGCCGCCGGCGCCCCCACGCTTGGGCCGGGCCGGGCAGCGCGCAGGCGCGGGTGCACGGGGCGCGCGGACCGGTTCCGCGTGGGCGGCGGCGGAGGGGCGGGGGCGGCTCGTGCCGAGGGCTCGGGCTCCGCGCGCGGCGGCCGCGGCGAGAACTCTGGGAGGAGGAGGGGAGGGAATTAAAGGAGCAGGAGTCCCCCTTCCCGACCCCCCGCTCAGCACCAGCCCCCCCACACGGTTAAAGGGCCGCAGGGCCCGGCCTCCCCTTTGGCCGGCATTATTTGTCCGCCAGAGCGGAAATACGCTCCGCCCCTCGGCCCGCTCCCCCTGCTCGGTGCCCCCGGGCGCGAGGGCCGGTCTGCGCGTGCGCCCGCCGCCGCCCCGCCCGCCGCGCCCGCGCCCGCGCCCGCCGCCGCCCAGTGCGCGTCCCCGCCGCCGCCCGTCCCGCCGTCTCCCGCCGGCGCAGCCACCTGCTGCCGGGGCGGGGCCCCCGGGCCCAGCCGTGCCCGGCGGCGAGGGGGAGCCGCGGCCGCAGGCCCTCTCCGCGCCGGGGGCCGTGGCCACGCCATCGTCCCCTGCGGATGGGGTGGGCGCGCGTCCACACCCCCAGCTCCTGCAGCGGGAAGCCGCCCGCCCTGCAGGCCAGGCAGCCCGGTGCCCTCAGCGTCCCCATCCCACGTGCAAAACCCACCATCCTCCCTCCTCTCCATTAAAAATATATATATTTATTGATTTCAGAGAGGAAGGGAGAGGCAGAGAGAGAAACACCAACAATGAGAGAGAATCACTGATCGGCTGCCTCTCGCACACGCCCCGCTGGGGATGGAGCTGGCAGCGGGGCCTGTGCCTGACCAGGACCCTTCCCGGACCCTTCGGTCTGCAGGCCCGCGCTCTACCCACTGAGCCAAACGGGCCAAGGCTCCCCATTTAAAAAAATATATATTTTATTGATTTTTTTTTTTTTTTTTTACTGAGAGGAAGGGAGAGTTAGAGAGATACAGAGTTAGAAATATTGATGAGAGAGAACATCGACCAGCTGCCTCCTGCACACCCCACACTGGGGATGTGCCCGCAACCATGGTACATGCCCTTGACTGGAATCTAACCGGGACCCTTCAATCTGCAAGCTGACGCTCTATTCACTGAGCCAAACCGGTTTCATCAAGGCTCCCCATTCTTATAGCTGAGCCCAGGCAATGGCCCTCCAGCCTTCCCCTTGAACTGGGGATGCCCTCCCCCGTCCACTGCACCCCACTACACAAGTAGCCCTAATGTCTACTTCTAATTATGCGGTTAAATATGTTAGTGAGATTCTACGATCTCTCATCTTCCCCATGGCAGCCGTACACCAAATTGACACGGCCAGAGCTTCTCGGCCCTAAGCAAGACCAACCTTAACTCTCCACCGCTGCCTTCCCTTCCCTTCACTCCCACCCCAGGCCTCCCGCCACGGCTTTTCGGCTTTTCGGCTTTTCGTAGCACCTGGAAGAAGGGCCCTCCCCAGCTCTCATCCCCCCACTTCCCCTCCCATCCAAGTCCAGGCGCGGAAGCCCGTTTCCTGCCAATTGGATTTACTACATATTCCAGGACACTAGAGCATTTTCCTTACACATCAGTTAAAATACTTTTTATTGATTTCAGAGAGGAGGAGAAAAGGAGACAGAGGGACAGAAACATCAATGATGGGAGAAAAACCATTGATCAATTGCCTCAGGTGCGCCCCCTCCTGGAGATGGAGCTGGCAACTCAGGCATGTGTGCTGACTGGAAATCTAACTGGGTGCTCAACCACTGAGCCACACCAGCCAGGCCTTCCATATCAATTTTGATGAAACTGCTTGATGTATTCACAGTCTGGTCTCCCCAAGTAAACATCCTGATTGCCAGAATTATGTCATGGGTTGTGTTTTGCAAATAAAGGTCATGCAATGAATGATTGACTGTTGAAGTCATTCCTCTTCAGCTCAGCCAGCATCCACCCACAAAAGGTTTGTTCCTCACTTAAACTGAACTCCTGAACTCTAAGGAAGAGCAGTGTTTGGCTGGTGCCTTGATTCTGTGCCTTTCCCTTTTAAATTCTCCGGCTTGTGTGCCTCCACCCAGTTCTCTCTATTCTAAAAGCCCTGTGTGGAAATCTTTGTAGGCAGGCAGTGTGGGCTGGAGGAAGACTTTGGCTCAGTCACATTTGACTGCTTCCTCTGAGAGGGCCCGGGAGTTATTAGTTCTCAGAATCTTTATCTTTGAACCGGAGCCCCGATTCCTTCCGGGGCCGAGGTGGGGTTTAAGCCTGGCCCGGGGGTGAGTGCTGTCAGTGATGGGTCCCTTCTCATTTGCCTAACTGGGAGTCTACAAATTTTTCAAAAGAACTTTAACTAAAAATGATGTTTTCCTATTTCATCTCTTCTTTTCCTCACTGCCAACCTTCTCAAGGACTGGTTCAGCCCTGGCCGGTGGCTCAGCTGATCCTGGTCAGAGCGCCTGCACGGGCTGTGGGCACCATCCCCAGGAGCGGGTGTGCAGGAGGCAGCCGATTGATGTTCCATTCACATCAATGTCCCTCTCTCTCTCTCTCTCTCTCTCTCTCTCTCTCTCTCTCTCTCTCCTCCCCTTCTCCAAAAAATCAATTTAAAATCTTTTTTAAAAAGAGAAGAATAATTCACAGTCCAGTGAGAGCAGAAATAAGAAAACCTGTCAAGGTAAGAATTTAAGTTTATAAGGTTTTGTATCTTGTCCCTCCTGGCTACTTCTTTTTCCTGGGTGGGTAAGGGGATAGGTGGCCCAATCTCAGTAGAGTGTAGACAGGTGATCCTCGGGGGCGGGTGGAGTTGAGTCTTCAGTGCGCACCCACCATGTCACAGTTTTATATGGAAACAAGTAGAAGCCCACTGCACAAAGATTCGTGCAGAATGGCCTTCCTTCCCCTGGCTGCCAGCACTGCCTTCGCTCTGGCCAGGCTGCCTTTCCGCCTTCCCCCGCTGCCCAGAGGCCGGAGCGGCAGCGATGGAGAGTTAAGTGTCCCGTTCAGTCCCAGCCACTTGGGGTCTGTGTATGTAAATGAACCCACCATCTTTGTTGGGTTGATTTGCATACTCACTCGTGATGGGCTGGTGGGCATCTCGAAGGTTGCTGGAAACCAAATCAGTTTTACTGAGAAAGAGATGTTGACAGGAAGCCAGGAAGGCTGGTCAACAACCTTAATTGCTCAACCTTTAGTTGAGATTATGTTAGTTTGAAGCAGCTGTTATTTCCTGCCTAAGGGCTAAGCCTCAATAAAAGGGGATGGCAGGGCCAGAGCAGTTGTAGTTCTCCCACTAGAGTTGGACTACCGCCTGGCCCCCCAAATCGCCAAATTGAATTTCTTCAAGTCTCTTTTCATTTGTGTGCGGCCCTTCTCCAGAAGCTGAACCCTGAATTGGAACTCTTTCTACGCGGGCCGTAAAAGAGAGTCCTATATCTGGCGCCCAACGTGGGGCTTCTGGAGGAGAAGGTATTTTTCGCCTAGAGCGAAGGAGGAAAAATACACCGAGAAAAGGTGTGGAAGATTCACCAGAAAAAAGGTGAGGGAATTTCATTGCACTCAAAGCCCACGTCCAGCTACAGAGTCTCAAACTCTAAGTAGGGTGGGAACGTCTTTTTTAAGCCAGGCTAATGGGGAAGAATTAGGTTATAAATTTAAAGTAAACTTTATTATAGAGTTTTGGTTTGTAAACTTAAAGAATGTGGTTTCTTGTTCAAATTAAAATCTTAGTTTGTATTTGGAATTTAAAATCTGTAATAAGAAATGAGACTCCACTGCTGAAACCGCCTCTGGTGCGGAGAAATTCAAAGGTGGCAGGAGAGGGCAAAGCTATCTGCTCTTCTGCAATGAGATTACTTAATGCTTTGTTTAAAAGTTATAAAAGAACCTGCAAACTAGGTGTTATCTTGGCCAAATTGGGTGATAGTTATTACTTCAGAAAGCAAAAGAGAAAGAAAAAATTTTTTGAGATCTGTCTTTATCTATTAAGCATGAAAAAATGTGTGGCTAGATCTGTTGAAACTTCTCCCAAAGTAAGCTTGATGTGGGGGAAGGAAAGAGACACAAGGCAATCCAATAAGGAAGACCACTCTCTCAGTAAGCTAAGGAATGTGGTAACTTACATTTGAATGGCTACAAACTTCCTCCAAATTCCTGTGGCAAAATTTTTGTGGAAGTTTGCTTAATTATAAAAATAAAAAAGTAAAGTTTAAATTTGCCTCATAAAAAATCTAGAGGACAGAATTGAAGCTCTTAATTGATTATGTCTTGTATTTTTCTTAGAAATGTAAAGTGTCATTAATTTAGGACATGCAATATATATTTGATTTGCCATCTTTAAAAGTTCAAAGTGCAAATTAAATTGGGAGACATTATATAGTTGTAATTAAAATACCTAAAGTATAACTTGTTTTTGAGAAAATAAAAAGTGTTTTCTCTAATAATTAGGAATTAAAAATAAGTTGCTTATTATTGGTCTAATTAAAAAAAAGAGGATTAATTCTGTGATCTCAACCAAATATTTTCTATGCAAAAACTACTCTAAATTTAATTGATATCTTAAGATAATAATAAAAGGTATTATAATATTTAAATCATATATGGATATAGATATTTGTTTGATGGTTTTTTCCATGTTAAAATTTCAAGGCCTTAACAGAGATGATTCTTGGAAAGCTCCAAGGGCCCGGAGAAATTTATTCTCTTCTTAAATGATTTAAAACAGATTTAATAAACTTGAAATTGCATGGAAAACCTTATCAAATAAAAATTAATAAATATAAATATTTTAGAAGGTTTATAGGCATGTATTGTTAATGGCAAAGGAAAGCAGTTAACTTTCCTGGTGCATGGTGAAGAAGACGGTACAGACGCCTGACACCTGAGAATGTCTTTCTTGCCATGTTAGCAGTAATCATCTGTACGGTAATATTACTTGGGACAAATGTGGAAGTGTTTAGGACTTATGTTCCTGGCCCTTCATGGGTAAAAGCCCTTATGTGGGCTGATCCCTTGCCAGTGTAGTCACCAATAATACTAAACACCTTGGTCATCCAAGAGGAAAATGGGTGGGGCAAGGAAGTATAATGACACAGGTGTTGCCACCCAGCTTC